GCAGGGAGTCTCCACACCATAGGACACTGGAGCAGAGCGTCTCCACGCCATAGGATACTGTAGAGCAGGAAGTCTCTACGCCACTGTGGAGCAGGGAGTCTCCACACCATAGGACACTGGAGCAGAGCGTCTCCACGCCATAGGATACTGTAGAGCAGGAAGTCTCTACGCCACTGTGGAGCAGGGAGTCTCCACGCCATAGGACACTGGAGCAGAGCGTCTCCACGCCATAGGATACTGTAGAGCAGGAAGTCTCTACGCCACTGTGGAGCAGGGAGTCTCCACACCATAGGACACTGTGGAGTAGGGAGTCCCCACGTCATGGGACACTGTGGAGCAGGGAGTCTCCACGCTATAGGGTACTGTAGAGGAAGTCTCTACGCCACTGTGGAGCAGGGAGTCTCCACGCTATAGGGTACTGTAGAGAAGGAAGTCTCTACGTCACTGTGGAGCAGGGAGTTTCCACGCCATAGGACACCGTAGAGCAGGGAGTCTCCACGCTATAGGAAACTGTAGAACATGGAGTCTCTGCGCCATAGGATATTGCAGAGCAGAGAGTCTCTACGCCATATGAACACTGTAGAGCGGGGGAATCTTTATGCCATAGGTCACTCGAGCAGGAAGCTTACGCGCCATAGGACACTGTAGAGCAGGGAGTCTCCATGCCATAGGTGCAATCGATTAAAGTATTTGATCTACTTGGGTTCGGGTCGAGATTCTCGCTGTGCAATAATGTTGTCTACACACTGATCACAAAGCCCAAAAAGATCAAAAACTAAGAATTCCTTGTTGATAGCCTGTGTGACAAACGGTGTGGTGGATTTTCGACAGGGCTGTGCTAAGTCAACATTTTCTGCGGTGAAACTTGCATTACCATTGCAAGGCATGAGACCTGCGTGGGGTGAAAGTGAGGGACAAGAGTCCGATCTTGCTTTGTATGCAGCATTCCTATGACATATGGGGTAGGAAACATAGGGTTGAGTCACATCATTAGAGGTGTTGCTTTTTTTCGTTAAAGGGAGTCTTCCACATTTATGTGGGGCTTTGAACTGAAATAGCCATCTTGAAGGCTTTTCGGTGCCGCTCACAATCCTGCCCTTCTTAAGACATAAACTGTTCTAGTTTCTGAGCTATACACCCCCAAAAAACGGGAAACGTATATTAAGAGAACATTTCCAGGTCACCATTGGTATTTATGACGTCATGATAACGTCATTCAAATCCTGCCATTCCATAAGCTACGCGTCGATCAACCCGAGGAAAATGTTATAGTCGATGCGTTTATATCTGGCGTTCGTGAGCACGATCCCCAGGTATAATGGCCGTCAATTGGCTCGATCAGTATTGTGGAAGGGTAAGATGGCATAATCAAACCATGACGCATTCGGGAGCATATTTACTGGAGTGAAAATGGTGCCGTCTAAGCAGTCTTTTCAACTTGAAAAGCATACTTAAAGTAATTAAGCGAACTTGTTCCATCATAAATAATGTTTGCTTCAAAATCTTTCAAATGTGAAAGCATTTCCTGTAATGTCCTGGCGCCAACAATTGCTCAAGCGTTATTGGAACTACTTCATTCCCATTTCACCTGACCCGGATCCACAATCCCAAGCTTCACTCTCGGCTCCGGTGGTGGTCGCTACCGAATGTGGCCAAAATCGAATTATTCTCTGACACTGCACAATGCCGCTAAGAGCAAACCAAGTGCACTTGACCAGGTACCTGCACAACTTTCTCATCAGCGTACTCACATGGACTGACATCATTCAGGGTCTTGAACACCTCAGGCTTGAGCGTGTAGTTATTCCATTGGTCTTTTATCTCCGGGCCGCCCTCCCGACTCATGTGACTGCCCTGTTCCATGCTGCTTTGCTGTCGAAATACACACAAACGCCATTGTGGCTATCCAGATGATCGTTGCACGTCTACCAGGCTGAGACCAGGCTCGGCTTCCATATAAATTCAATGGCATCCTTCACAAGATGTTCACACGGCTTGTTCGTAACAGAAGGACCCCTTTCCAAATCCCCGTTCTGCAGTAAGATCGAGCGAGAAAATGAGCCCTTTCCACCGCAGGATGTCGGGGTCAGTGTTGGCCGCTGACGCCGGCACCCTTATATACAGCATCGCGGCGGGCCGCACCGAACCATCCTTCGCGACTGCGCCAACCCACCCGTTCCCCCAGCCCCTCCCCCCTCTGCCCATCCTCGCCGGTCCGGCTCACATCCATCGGCTCATATTACCAATCAGGCCGATGGCGTATATATATATATATATATATATATATATATATATATATATATATATATATATATATATGTGTGTGTGTGTGTGTGTGTGTGTGTGTGTTGTGTGTTGGAATATTTTGGCAGCACTCTTTCTTTGGTGCATGTTTGATTAAAAATAACTGCTGACTCAGCACTGACGAGCTTTTTGATGCATCGTTCTAGTTTCCGGGCCTTTGACTTTGCGTCATCGCTCAGATTAAAGATGGTTCGCACAAAATTACTCATATATTCATCACTCCTTCCATTCTAACGTTTCGAAATCTTATCTCATCTTCGGAGAAGACTAAATTGCACAAGAAATAAGTTTTGAGTTTTAATGGATGAAAAATTGTGCAATACTGTTGGAAAACATATTTTGGTACGGAGAGCATAAATGTAGCATAACTAATTGAAGTAAGACGAATTGCTATTTTTCATTTTCATACATGTAAGAAACACCCATAATGGGAACATCACAAAGACACAATGGGAACACTATTGTCACAATCACATCAGAAGTGCTCACCGCCCACCACCTAGTAGCTCAAGAGTTCTGCAAGAATTTGTCTGTCTGTTTAAGGCCGGAGAGTCAGTTAATGAATACGCTTTCCCAAATTTGGAGGCGTCTTCTGTCATTGCACGTCCGTAAAATGCCAGTGTTATCTGTCAGTTGTTGTCGTGTCAATCTCATGTTGTGTTCATGACGCATGTGGTCCAGAGGCGCCCCGTCACGTAAGTGCATCGTCAGGCGTCGTGAGAGTGTCGTTGTGGTCACACCAATGTAGTGTACGGAACGAAGTTTGCACCCTACGATGTTGCATTTGAATTGATACACTACATTGGCGCATTTTAGTTTGTCGGAGTTGTCTGGACTGCTTCTCATAAAAAGTTAGATATTTTCTTATTACGATAATAAATGACAATGTCTATGTTGTGGTCGCTTTTGCCTTCAACATGTTGAGAGATAATTTCCCGTAAAGTTTGTTCGTCCTGTTTGTGGGCAGATGTAATTCGATTTTGATAAAACAGTTTGACGGTTGGTTGAATGTCTTGCCTTGGTTTGCCTTCACGTGCGGGATTCAAAGCCCCCTTCGTCCAATAATTTGACAGATCCCTTCACCAGCCTATAGAATTGCAAAACGTCTTAATGTCCTCTGTCCCCACATCTTCCCATGTCTTACAGCTTGTCATCAACGGATGAGTTTATTGATATAGTGCGATCTCGTCAACCTAAGGGCCTACTAGCCTCTCTAGGTGTTGAAAATCTATTTACAAACGTGCCCATTGAAAGAACCATATCCATCATCCTTGACCGCGTCTACAATCATCCTGAAATTCCTCCTCTCAAAATATCAAGTTCCTTTCCGCGGGCCTGATGGCCGAATGTATTGCCAAATTGAGGGTGCTGCGATGGGCTCACCTCTAGGACCTCTATTCGCTAATTTCTTTATAGGACAGGTAGAAGCCGACATACTAAAAAATGACGACATAAGACCGGACATTTACTGCCGCTACGTAGACGATATCTTTGTAGAAGTTAGGGACATTGACCAACTAGGACATCTCAAAAACACCCTTGAAGAATGGTCTGGCTTAAAATTCACAACAGAGCTAAGTGTGCAAACTCGTAATACCGTTTCTTGACGTGGCTGTCGATGGACAAGGACAACAATTCAAAACGACTGTATACCAAAAACAGACTAACAACGGACGGTGCTTAAATGCTGACAGTGAGTGTCCTCGACGCTACAAAATTAGCGTCATAAGTTCCCTTCTTCGACGAGCATTTAAGCACTGCTCTGATTGGACAGGACTACATTCAGAATTGACAGTGACGTTGGAAAGTGGTCGTTGGAAAGACACCGTGTAATGTGATCACCGCGGAGATTAAATGCGGCAGTCATCGCCATGAATCGAACTGAACCGTGGCTTCATCGTTGAGCCAGCTGCAAATGAATCCGCCAGGAAACAAGCTGCGGCTGGAAAGCGGATCACCACTGGGCACCACCGGTTATCACTGGTCGTCACTGGTCAACAGATGGTCATCGCCTGCTCAACAGCTGGTCAGCACGGGTCAGCAGCTGGTAAACACTTGTCAGTACCTGGTCATCACTGGTCAGCAGCTGGTGAACACTTGTCAGTACCTGGTCATCACAGGTCAGCAGGTGGTCATCACTAGTCAGCAGGTGGTCATCACTGGTCAGCAGCTGGTCAGCACTGGTCAGCAGCTGGTGAACATTTGTCAGTACCTGGCCATTCGCTGGTCAGCAGCTGGTGAGCATTTGTCAGTACCTGGTCGTCACAGGTCAGCAGGTGGTCATCACTAGTCAGCAGGTGGTCATCACTAGTCAGCAGCTGGTCAGCACTGGTCAGAAGCTGGTGAACAACTCGGGTAGGTACTTTGCCGATGGGGAACGTGGCGCAGGTTGACCAGGAAACGTCCGCCAGCCGGTCGGCCTCGCCTAGGAAAAGCTTGTGCACACCGGCCGGAGGTTGTCAGTCACACGAGTTGGTCCAGTCGATCGACTCCTGGGACAGAAGACACTCCCTCGACAGAGGGAGGTAGACTGCAGCCAGGCAGCGGGGGGGGCGCGCCATACAGCTGAGACGGCACTGACCTGAGGGCAACGTGACGGGTGAGGGCGAACGCGGCAGGGCGACCAATACCATGAGTACGCTCCTCATTTGGCGTAGACATGAGAGCGGACCGGTTACTTTTTGCGTAGGAGGCTGTAGATTAGCGCGTCTCCACGCCATAGGACACTGTGGAGGAGAGCGTCTCCACGCCATAGGACACTGTGGTGCAGGAGCGTCTCCACGCCTAGGACACTGTGGAAGCAGAGCGTCTCCACGCCATTGGATACTGTGGAGCAGGGCGTCTCCACGCCTAGGACCACTGTCGGAGCAGAGCGTCTCACGCCCATAGGATACTGTGGAGCAGGGCGTCTCCACGCCATAGGGACACTGTGGAGCAGAGCGTCTCCAATCGCCATTAGGATACTGTTAGAGCAGGAGTCTCTACGCCACTGTGAGCAGGGAGTCTCCACACCATAGGACACCTGGAGCAGAGCGTCCTCCACGCCATAGGATACTGTAGAGCAGGAAGTCTCTACGCCACTGTGGAGCAGGGAGTCTCCAAGCCATGGGACACTGGAGCAGAGCGTCTCCACGCCCTAGGCTTACTGTAGAGCAGGAAGTCTCTACGCCACTGTGGAGCAGGGAGTCTCCACACCATAGGACACTGTGGAGTAGGGAGTCCCCACGTCATGGGACACTGTGGAGCAGGGGAGTCCTCCACGCTATAGGCGTACCTGTAGAGCAGGAAGTCTCTACGCCACTGTGGAGCAGGGAGTCTCCACGCTATAGGGTACTGTAGAGAAGGAAGTCTCTACGTCACTGTGGAGCAGGGAGTTCTCCACGCATAGGACACCGTAGAGCAGGGAGTCTCCACGCTATAGGAAATGTAGAACATGGAGTCTCTGCGCCATAGGATATTGCAGAGCAGAGAGTCTTACGCCATATGACACTGTAGAGCGGGGAATCTTTATGCCATAGGTCACTCGAGCAGGAAGCTACGCGCCATAGGACACTGTAGAGCAGGGAGTCTCCATGCCATAGGTGCAATCGATTAAAGTATTTGATCTATGGGTTCGGGTCGAGATTCTCGCTGTGCAATAATGTTGTCTACACACTGATCACAACGCCCAAAAAGATCAAAACTAAGAATCCTTGTTGATAGCCTGTGTGACAAACGGTGTGGTGGATTTTCGACAGGCTGTGCTGTCACCATTTTCTGCGGTGAAACTTGCATTACCATTGCAAGGCATGAGACCTGCGTGGGGTGAAGTGAGGGACAAGAGTCGATCTTGCTTTGTATGCAGCATTCCTATGACATATGGGGTAGGAAACATAGTGTTGAGTCACATCATTAGAGGTGTTGCTTTTTTTCGTTAAAGGGAGTCTTCCACATTTATGTGGGGCTTTGAACTGAAATAGCCATCTTGAAGGCTTTTCGGTGCTGCTCACAATCTTGCCATTCTTAAGACATAAACTGTTCTAGTTTTCTGAGCTATACACCCCCAAAAAAACGGGGAAACGTATATTAAGAGAACATTTCCAGGTCACCCTTGGTATTTATGACGTCATGATAACGTCATTCAAATCCTGCCATTCCATAAGCTACGCGGCGATCAAGCCCGAGGAAAATATCATAGTCGATGCGTTTATATCTGGCGTTCGTGAGCACGATCCCCGGTAATGGCCGTCAATTGGCTCGATCAGTATTGTGGAGGGTAAGATGGCATAATCAAACCATGACGCATTCGGGAGCATATTTACTGGAGTGAAAATGGTGCCGTCTAAAGCAGTCTTTTCAACTTGAAAAGCATATTAAAGTAATTAAGCGAACGTGTTCCATCGTAAATAATGTTTGCTTCAAATCTTCCAATGTGAAGCATTTCCTGTAATGTCCTGGCGCCAACATTGCTAAGCGTTATTGGAACTTTCATCCCATTTCACCTGACCCGATCCAAATCCAAGCTTCACTCTCGGCTCCGGGGTGGTCGCTACCGAATGTGGCCAAAATCGAATTATTCTGACATGCACAATGCCGCTAAGAGCAAACCAAGTGCACTTGACCAGGTACCTGCACAACTTTCTCATCAGCGTACTCACATGGACTGACATCATTCAGGGTCTTGAACCCTCAGGCTTGAGCGTGTAGTTATTCCATTGGTCTTTGTCTCCGGGCTACCCTCCGACTCATGTGACTGCCCTGTTCCATGCTGCTTTGCTGTCGAAACACACACAACCCATTGTGGCTATCCAGATGATCGTTGCACGTCTTACCAGGCTGAGACCAGGCTCGGCTTCCACGTAAATTCAATGGCATCCTTCACAAGATGTTCACAGCGGCTTGTTCGTAACAGAAGGACCCCTTTCCAAATCCCGTTCTGCAGTAAGATCGAGCGAGAAATGAGCCTTTCCACCGCAGGATGTCGGGGTCAGTGTTGGCCGCTGACCCGGCACCCTTATATACAGCATCGCGGCGGGCCGCACCGAACCATCCTTCGCGACTGCGCCAACCCACCCGTTCCCCCAGCCCCTCCCCCCTCTGCCCATCCTCGCCGGTCCGGCTCACATCCATCGGCTCATATACCAATCAGGCCGATGGCCGTATATATATATATAGTAATATATATATATATATTA